CTTTTTAGGAAGGACTTATTTAGAAGACAGTAAAAGCAACACATGGCCAACCCAGGTTAGAACCCTCAGCGCCCCATATGGTAGTCCCGAGACCGCCAGGAATGATCCCTGAGTGCAGAGCCAGGAGGAAATCCTGAGCCTTGCTGGGGGTGTCCCCCACCCTCTCCAAACAAAATAAAGTCCACGGTCCAAATTTCCAGATCACCACTGTGTGGGCCCCCAAGGCTCTGTCACCTCCCCAGGCCATGTGCTCCCTCTGGTCCTAAATGACATCACATTTTCTCCCCTATCCCCAAATCCTAACACTAATACTAACCCCTCCCTCCCTGTCCTCCTGGCTGTGGACCTGGTTCTTCACTGAGGAACTGAAACCTGGTGTCTCCACCACACTCCCCCACACGACACTGCACCCCGGCTCCCCGGCCACTATCCAGGGATTTCCACACTTCCTTCCTGCATCACTGCCAACCCCTGCATAGCCCCCTGCGTCCACTCCCTGCTCCATGGGTGGGCACTGCCCAGCAATGTCCAATCCCTCTGGGATTGTCCCCATGAGCTCTCCCGCGCTCCTTCCCGGGGACTCTATTGGGAAGGAGTCAGAGCTGCACCTCAGCCCTTCCCCTCCCGGGAATTTTTTTCTTTTTGGGTCACACCCGGCATTGCTCAGGGATGACTCCTGGCTCTGCACTCAGGAATCACTCCTGGCAGTACTCGTGGGACTATATGGGATGCTGAGAATTAAACCTGGGTCAGTCGCATGCAAGGCAAATGCTGTGCTATGGCTCTCCAGCCCCCCCCCCCCCCCCCCCCCCCGGGAATCCTTCTTATGGATTTCCCCGGATGGTCTCTTCAAAGTCACAAAAGATCTCCACTCTGCCAGCTGGGCAGGCCAAGGCTGGGCTTACTCCCCTCAGCCTATCAGCAGCACCTGGCATGGCTGAGCCCTCCCCTGCCCCGTCGATGCCCCACTTCTGCTTCCGGGGCCACCCAGTTCCCTTCTCTCTCGGGCTCCTTTTCTGGTTCTTTCTCTCTCTGTTTCTCTCCATGGTGCATTGTTCTGGGGCCAAGTCCTTTTGCACTTGGAAATTTTCTCCACGCTTAAGGATCTAAATGCCTTCCCTCTGCCTCGTCCTTTAACTCTCCAATCCAACTAGCCACTTGCCATCTCCACTTGGGTTTCAAATCAAAATTCACCCTCCAACCCCCCATTACTGTCCTTCCAAGCTGCTGTCTTCTCCCTTCAGTTCATGGTGACCTTTTAGAAACCCTAGAATCCCTCTGACTGCAGTTCCTTTCTGTCATATTTTATGTTCTGGATATTTACCCACAATTAAACAAACAAAAAATGTGTGCCATACCTTGCGGTGCTCAGGGATCACTCCTGGTGGGCTCAGGGGAACTTACGGGATGCCAAGATAGAACCCAGGTTGGTCACATGCAAGACAAACGCCCTCCCTGCTGTGCTCTCATCTCTCTCCAGCTTCGACACTTTTCCTTTAATGGGAAAGGAGCACCGAGGCTTTGCAAGCAGGAGTCACGGGTTCAAACCTCAGGTGCCACAGGGCCCCCAAGCACTGCCAGGTGTAGTACAAGTTGGGTCTGAGGGAAGGAGAAAAGCGACACCCAGAAGGGAAAGAAAAGCTGCCACCTGGTGGCCGTCACTCCTGAGCATCTTGGAGAGGAAGGCTCAGCTGGGCACGTGGGCCACCCACCCGCTCCACAAGCCCGTCTGGGCGGCACTGGGCTGGGAAGAGTGGGAACCGCCGTCTGCTGATCAGACACTTGCACAGTCTCCTGCTTCCGGGGAGGGGCTGTGCACAGATGTCCAGCTGCACCTTGCACCCCAGGGAAGGTTTCCTGGCTTCTACTCAGGCCAGGACCCTGAGAGACCGAGTGAGACTAATGGAAATATGCTGGGTGCTGGCTAACGGTAAACCAATTACCAAATCTTGTAGGCAAAAGAAGAAAGTGAAGGTTCTTCTGCACAAAAGACCATGACAAATCCCGTTTGCCTCTTTGTTCTGCAGGTGCCCAGGAGAATAGCATTTGCTCAAGAAGACAACCTTTGACTGTTCCAGAGTAATCAAATGTGTTCAGTCCCGCTTCCAAACTCACGGCCATAAACAGAAATGACAAAGCAGGACTTCTTTACTAGATGAACCACAGGGACAGATTTTTCAAACAGTGACTGGCGTCTAATAAGCCTTTCCGAGAACATTTCTCACAAATCTAATGAGCGTCATTGGGTATAATTTTATTCCAGATCGATCAAGTTCAGGTGCCACAGTGCAAACCTATTTTTATAGAGAAAAACACTTCTCAGCCAAGCCTCACTCTGACAAAGGCTCCAGAAGAGAAGGACCACGGCTCATGTGAGTGCGAGTGACTCACGGCGGGAAGGGTACACCAGCCACAGCCCCCGGGCTGCTCCTACCCCAGCAGGGCCTCCCGCCCCTGCATGACCCTAACCTCTATGCCATCCCCTGGCAGCAAACTTTAGAGTCTCGCAGGAAGAGGGAAGGAGGAAGAAAGCACTGCTAGCCACAGCGATGAGGCTGCAGCTCAGGCCAACTGCAGGGCCCTGACCTCCCTAGACATGCAGTGCTGACCTGACTGCAGGGCAAAGGTTCTCCTTCTGTGACACGGCTCCACCTGCCTCTGTATCTGCGGAAGGATCGGGAGACTTGGAGATGTGGCTTTCTGCGTCTCCTTCTGTAGGGCTTCGTGGAGCACAGCAGTTTGTCCAAGCAGGGAGACTCAGCACAGGCCCCAACTCCTAAAGAGCTGCTGCGGGCTGGCGGACCGTGGCCCTGCCTCAACCCCACCTACTCGAGTGGGCGCCACTCCTTCCCTTGCTCATTCCCAGCGTGTTTTCTGTCTTTCAACAGTGAGACAGTAAGAAGCGGCCACAGACCCTTGATGCTGCTAGCCTGACTCTGCTGCTGGAGCAGGGACCCCTCCTCGTCTGCACAGTCTGAGGGGACATACTGAGCTGGGGATGGCTCAAACTTGGGGTCTCAAGCAGCACAGCAGAAGCTCCAGTCCTCTGCCCTCTTCTTTTGGGGGGGGGGCTCCCAAATGATACTGCGTGGCCCAGGGACCCCTCCCAGAGATTTCTGCCCAGAGGCCAGCAGTTCCAAGCAGGGGCCTGTGGATTCTGTGCTGCTGGGGGGTGGGGAGGAAGGGAGCAGGGATCACCCAGGTCACTCCAGTGCCTGGGGGCACCCACAATGCTTAGGGGATGGACCCAGGGAACTGGCCCATGAGCCCACTCATGGCAGAGGGCCGAGAACCCAGGGATGGCCTTGATCCCTGAGCACTGGGAGGCACTCGGGACTAGGCCGTAAGCAGAGGCCATGCTGTCGCCCCGGCCTCTCTCTCAGATCCCGGGGTCTCTCTTCTGAGCAGTTCCAACTGCAAGGCCAGGACACAGGACCCGTACGTGTTTCTTTATTTGGGGTTTTTGGTCCTCACTCACCTGTGCCCTGCTCTGCTGGCCGTGGCTGCATGCAAGGCAAGGCCTGAAGCACCTGTGCTACCTCTCCAGCCTCACCAAACCAGAATTTAATTCATCCATTTATTTTAGCGGGGCCACCTGGCTCGGTTCAGGACTTCCTCCTGGCTCGTGCCCTACTTGCTATACGACCTCTCCGGCCCCACCCCACCATGTTTCTGAAACCACACTTCCTCCCTGCTTGGGATTTTCTCCCGTCACCACCCCAAATCTGGGTCACTTCATGAAGACGACTTAGTATTTTACTTTCTCCTTAGTTCTTAGTTCTCCTTCACTCTCCTTAGCGTCCTTAGTCACTCATATCCAGAGCAGAGGTCACCTGTGATGTCTATGCATGACCTGCTTTGCCAATCACATCAGACCACCTGGCATGGATCACTGTATCACTGCCATCTCGTTGTTGATTAATTTACTCGAGCGGGCACCAGCGATGTCTCAATTCATCCCAACCCTGAGATTTTAGCAGCCTCTCCTTACTCGTCTCTCCCAATGCTGCTGTACTGGAGGCTCGTTCAGGGGAATGAGACTCATTATTTTTGCTGTTTTTGGCATATCGAACAAGCCACGGGGAGCTTGCCAGGCTCTGCCACGCAGGTGGGATATTCTTGGTAGCTTGCCGGGCTCTCTGAGAGGAATATGGATACCTGACCTTTTTTCAAGTACACACCTTGATCCCCTAGTTGCCCTCGTGATCATTAAGAGTAGGGTTCCTGGGGTCTAGAGACAGCACAGCAGCCAGCCTGTGTCCGAGCCCCGGCACCACATCTGATCCCTTCAGCCCTCCAGGAATGATGCCTGAGCAGAGCCAGTGGTCCACCCTGAGCACCACCAGTGTGCCCCCATCTGCTCCCTCCCGCCAACCAAAGTAAGGTTCCTATTTTACAATTTTGGAGATTATTTCACAAAAATCAATGACAATAAGGCATATTATAAGTAAACTCAAATTCTTAGTAAGCATGTTTTTAAAATTCTTATAAATCTTAATTTGGGCTCTTTCTATAACTGAGTATGTAGCACTATCCTCCCGTTGTTCATCGATTTGCCTGAGCGGGCACCAGTAACATCTCCATTGTGAAACTTCTTGCTACTGTTTTTGGCATATCGAATAAGCCATGGGGAGCTTGCCAGGCTCTGCTGTGCAGGCGGGAAACTCTCGATAGCTTGCGAGGCTCTCCAAGAGGGGCAGAGGAACCGAAAATGGATAAGCCATGTGTAAAAAGGAAAATAATAGAATAAAATGAGCAATAGACAATAAGTTATCTAGCATCTGTCCCTGGCAGGCAGGCTTGAATGTTGGTGGGAAAATCCGAGCTAAACATAATGCCCAAAAGTAGAGAGAGAATACTGGGAAAATTACCTGCCATGGTATGTATAATTGAAAAAATATGTACAGATCTCACAGAGGCCAAATAGTTCTACATCTAACTAAATTAATTTTAAACTTAATAAGAGAAAAAAAAAAGACTTTGAGTCCTAAGTTACTCACCATTCTTCATCACTACATTGGACCACACATTGGCATTCAAGGCTTGTATGATTCGCTTCACTCCTGTAGATTCTGGGAAATCATCTAATCAGAGAGGGAAAATATACATATTTATACATACATACATCACCTATGCCATGTTTTAAATGATTTAAATAACCGTAACTAAATTTATCTTGCTTACTTGTTATTTCACATTGTAATGTATAAAATAAGGGGGGGGGGGAATCAATCTAGAGCTTAGCACTCCTGACAAAAATATATGAAAAACGGAAACAATGAAGTAAACACGAGAGATTTATATAATAAAGTCATTTCCCCTTGCCTAACCCATGAAATCCACTCATATTCTCCTGAAAACGTTGGTTTCCGTTAATCACATAATCCTGGGATTGTGACAGAGACACCGATCTTGGTTATTTACAGAGAATGAGTTTCCTGAAAGCAGGAACAGTCTTTGTATGTGATGAATTCCTTTAACTGCCCTATTTCTCCTGAGAAACAAGGTAATAATTATTTATAATGGACATTCAGAGAACAGCTCTTGAACAGCTAAAAACAGGCTGAGGCTGAGATGTAAAATTACTGAAATCCTAAGCGTAGGAGACAGGTCACTAAAATAACAAGGGACTTAATTTAGTATTGGCACTATGCTGCTTCGAGAATCTCACTGGTACTTCTCGAATAAACCCCCGCAAAAACCAAGACAATAATTCCAATTACTGAGACCATTAGTAACCCCCATTGACAGTCAGGCGACAGCCTCAGCTGTGGTGTGGGTGTGATGGACACAAAGAAAATGGTTTTCCTTCAAATCATGACTAAGGGATGCGCATGGGAGACAGGAGCAGAAATGATTTCCTTGGGATCCAAAGAGAAAAGTCTTTAAAGAGTTTCCCCAACACAGCCCACATGGGAACAGAGTTGGCACGGCCTTGTTGGGGGCGGTTATAACAGGTAGAGTTCAGAGTCAGAAGGCAGAGCTGAATTTGGATCCAGGGTCTGTAACTTATTAGCCATCTGACCAAGGGCAGAACAAAAGGAAGTGGCGCTCTGTGAACCCTGATGCAAAAGGAAAGATCCCCGGGACTGGTGATTTACTGGGTGACCACCCTCATCAGGCTGGGCATTCCTGGAGGGAAGACTCTTGTCTCACTGCCCAATATGGTAGCAGCGAGGGAAGCAGCTCTCAGTAACTGATAAGACTGGTGGCTGGTTAAAAACACCAGTCCAGGGCCAGAGGGGCTGTGCTTCAGGGTCAGTGCTGGCTGCCGTTGGCTGACGCACTGGTTCAGTCCCTGGCCCCACAGCAGGCCAGGGTCATCCCGAGCACAGAACAGGATAGGGAAGACTCCAAAGCAAACAACAACCTGACAGTACCACTCCACCCTAAAGGGGGGGGGGGGGGGGAGGAGGATATGACTCCCATTATCACCTTCAATATTTACATTGGGAAAGAGTTGGTTAAGGCATGTTTATGCTCACTGCAAATGACTCAATTCTTGAAAGACGAACAAATGGAAAAGAATCTCCAAAGATGAACTTATCACCTCCAATGTTTAAATGAAGACCTAAAGCAAGCATGTTTATCTTGACTGTGAATGACTTGACTCTTGAAAGCCTAATATGTCTCAGTGCTAGAACGAGGGGCTGGAACTATCAGCTGTGATAAAAAGCCCAAACTTTTAAGAGTCCCAAGGCTTAAATAATCCATGCAAATAAAAACTGAAGCCATGTGATGTAGACTCGTTTGCATTTTAAAATTCTAGGGAGGTTTTAGCTACTTTCCATGATATGAAACAAATAAATCTTGAAGATATGAAACTACGGAAATGTTCCATTCTGGATGAGTGGATCCGGAAGTTGTTTTTCGTGTGGGGAACGGCACCAAGAGGATGGAAGGGAACGAAGACCGTGCAGCTCTTGGAAAAGACGAGATCAAGCAACCGGCCACTATGTGCCCACTGTGAAGTCAGCCAGGAGAGGGACAGACACAGGCACAGGACAACCTCTCATAGGACATAAAGACACACAGAAAGGGGAGCAATGAGGACCCAAAGGCAACAGATCAGGAGAGCTGGTCTCCAGAATGAGACCTCGGTGGAGGGTTGGTGGAGGGAAGTGGGCACCCTGGTGGAGGGGGCAGTGCTGGGACAGTGCACGCAAGAAACTATCGTCAACAGTATTGTAAATCATAGTACCTTAGTAAAAACGGAAGCTACGTGTGTGTGTGTATGTGTGTGTGTGTGTATATATATATGTATATATATATATCCAGAATTTATTATCTTTATGGTACTCACATGCTAGTAATTTACAAACAGCTAGACTAAATTTGCAAAATTTTTAAATTTTACACCTATAATTTGAATGAAAGTAGCTTTAAAAAGAGAGAAATTATACTGGTTACAATTCTTGGGAAAAAGTAAATGGGAGGAATCAACCTCCCTAATTTCAAACTCTACTACAAAGCAGTAATAATTAAAACAGCATGGTATTGGAACAAAGGCAGAGCTGCAGACCAATGGAACAGGGTGGAATATACTGACATCTCCCTCCCCCCTCCCCAAACATATGAGCATCTAATCTTTGATAAGGGAGCAAGAAATGTGAAGTGGAACAAGAAAAGCCTCTTTAACAAATTGTGCTGGCAAAACTGGACAGCTACATGCAAAAAAAGAGGGCTCAGATCTCTGCCTAACACCACGTACAAAAGTAAGATCAAAATGGATTAAAGACCTCAACATCAGACCAGAATCCATAAGGTACATTAAAAGACAAGGTTGGCAAAACCCTCCACGACATTGAAGTGAATGGTATCTTCAAAGATGTCATGCCACTGGCCAAGCAACTGAAAACAGAGATAGACAAATGGGACTATCTTAAACTAAGAAGCTTCTGCTCCTCAAAAGAAACAGTGACCAAAACACAAAGACAGTCTACAGAATGGGAAAGGATATTCACCCAATACTCATCTGACAAGGGGTTAATATCAAGGATATACAAAGTACTGGTTGAACTGCACAAGAAGAAAATTTCCAACCCCATCAAAAAATGGGGCAACGAAATGAAGAGAATCTTTCTCAAAGAAGAAATCCAAATGACAAAAAGGAACATGAGAAAATGCTCTACATCATTAATCAGGGAGATGCAGATCAAAACAACAATGAGATATCATCTCACACCACAGAGACTGGCCCACATCCTAAAGAACAAAAGAACCAGTGTTGGCGCAGACGTGGTGAGAAAGGGATTCTTCTTTACTGCTGGTGGGAATGCCGACTGGTTCAGCCCTTTTGGAAAACAGAATGGACGATTCTCAAAAAATTAGAAACTGAGCTCCCATTTGACCCAGCAATACCACTCCTGGGAATATATCCCAGAGAGGCAAAAAAGTACAGTCAAAGTGCCATCTGCACTTGTTTGTTTATTGCAGCACTCTTTACAATAGCCAGAAACTGGAAGAAACCTGAATGCCCAAGAACAGATGACTGGTTAAAGAAACTTTGGTACATCTACACAATGGAGTACTATGTAGCTGTTAGAAAAGATGAAGTCATGAAATTTACATACAAGTGGTACTACATGGAAAGTATCATGCTAAGTGAAATGAGTCAGAAAGAGAGGGACAGACATAGAAAGACTGCATTCATCTGGGGAACATAAAGTAACAAAATTGGAGACTAACACCCAAGAATAGTCGAGATAAGTACCAGAAGGTTTACTCCAGGGCTTAGAGGCCAGCAGCACATGCTAGGGGAAAAGGCAGCTCAGATAGAGAAGGGAGCAACAAATAAAGGGAGTTGGGAGGATCCTTCCAGGATGGGAGATGCATGCTGAAAGCAGACTAGAGACCAACCATGACTGCCACTCAATGCCTCTTTTGCAAACCACAACACCCAAAAGGAGAGAGAGAACAAAAGGGAATGCCCTGCCACAGAGGCAGGGTGGGATGAGAGGATGGGGGCGGGGGTGTGAGAGGGATACTTGGATCATTGGTGGTGGAGAATGGGTACTAGTGGAGGATTGGGTACTCGATCATTGTATAACTGAAGCCCAAGCACAAAAATTTTTAAGTGTACAACTGTACTTCATGGTGTTTCACTAATAAAAACTTTTTAAAAAAATGTACAGGGAGAGGCACTGGAGCAATAGTGCAGCATGGAGGGCACTTGCCTTCCAAGCGTCTGACCTGGGTTCGATCCCCAGCATCCCAAATAGTCCCCCAAGCACTGCCAGGAATAATTCCCGAGTGAACAGCCAGGAGTCAGCTATGAGCACTGCAGGTATAAACCCAAAACAAAACCAAAAATGTACAGAGAAGATAAATGAGCCTTTTCACTTCATTTCTATCTTTTATGCTAGGATTTTATTCCTGGTAACAGCACTTTCAAGAAGAAAGAAAAATCAAAAAGCCAGAATGTAAGGGGCAGAAGACAGTACAGCAGTTGGAACACGCGCCCAACATGCACTTGGACCCAGTGTCCAGGCCCCGGCACCAGAGGACTCCCCACACCTCTGGGACGCCCTCGGGATCTAGCAGTGTGGACCCTGCTGACCCTCGGTGCCTTACACTGAAGCACCGAGCCAGCGGGCGAAGACCCCCACTGGGGACCTGCAGCTCCGGAGCACTGCTTGGCCCCCATCAAAACTATCACCCTTTGGAACAACTGATATATTTTTCAAGACCCCCCTCCCTAGCAGTTCTGTCACTGCACGACTTTTCCATTTCTTCCCTGGGGAGCAGCTAAATAACATGTGCAATCATAGTGGTAAGGCTTAAAAGAAAAAGAGAGACATACAGACAGAGAGACAAAGACAGAGAGAGACACAGAGAGAGAGAGAGAGAGTGAGAGTGTGTGTGTGTGTGTGTGTGTGTGAGAGAGAGAGAGAGAGAGAGAGAGAGAGAGAAAGAAGAAAAGTGACTGCACAGAGGCAGGCGGGGAGTGGGGGTGGGGGGTGATGGGAGGGAACCTGGGGACACTGGTGCCAGGAAATGTACACAGGTGGAGGGTAGGTGTTGGAATACTGTATGACTGAAACCTAATCGTGAACAGCTTTGTAAGGGTATATCTCACAGTGATTCAATAAAAAAAAGTTTTAACAAATTAAAAATTAAAAAATTCTTTAAAAACATGAAAACAAAAAAACTGATGTGCCCCTTAAGGTTCCTAACGTTCAAGGAAGGAGCATAACTTTACTTATGAAAGTAGTTACAATTGTACACAGGAGAAAGGAAAAAGAGACAGGAACATTAGTGATTTTTTAATTTGTTCTGAGGCCATACCCAACAGTGCTCAGGGCTAACTCCTGGCTCTGTGCTGAGGAGGAATCACTCCTGGTGGGCTTGGGGGACCAAGTAGGGTGCCAGGGATGGAACCCAGGTTTGCCACATGCAAGGCAAATGCACTGCTCACTGTACTATTGCTCTGGCCCCGAAAAGTAGGAAAATTTAAAGTACAAATCCACTATCCTTATCAATGATAAAAGCAAAGAACACCTCAAAATTTTGAAATGCATGGATTCCTCAATTAAAGAGAAGATTTATGAGAAAGCCACAATAATGACTTTTGTCCCGATGCTTTCAGCTGACACATACAGTTGTTTTGAAGCTTTACTCTGCTGCCTCTCCTGTGGGTAACCTCTCCTGCCTGAATCTGAGTGCCGCGTCTCCCCGCGACTCCTGAGCACTCACCGTCCTCCTCGGGCAGCTCCTCAGGGCTAAGTTCCACCAGCTCGAAGCTATGGTCGATACACCACTCCTGAGCTTTCTGTCGGGTTACACCTAAAGTAGTACACAAAAGGAAAAACAACACAGGACCATCACCTACAATATTATCCAAGTATCCCTGGCACCCTTCATTGGCTGGTGACATTCAAAAAGCAACCAAAAATGACCTGCCATGGAAAGAAATGGTTCCAGAGCCAAGAGCAAGTTCAGGGATTTAGTTGCTTGTCTTGCAAGGGCTGACCCCTGTTAAGGCTCCTGGCACCATAGAGGGTCGCCTGAACATGGCCAGGAGTGGTCTGTAACCACCTCCCCCCACCCCAATGTTTTCTTGTGATCCCCAGCACCAAAAAAGAATGAATTTCTCAAACCCAAAGTGTTTGGTCCTAAAAAAAAAAAAAAAGTAAATACTGCAATATTTGAAAGGAAAATAGCTGGCAATATTTTTGACAACGTTATACCAGATGTGCCGCTCTAAGCATAGAAACAAAGATCCTTTTATTTCCCAAGGAAAGCCACATGCACTGACCACTGGACACCCAGGGGCCTTACCGTTCTCACACACTCGATCACAGACCAAGATCATGACCTCAGGTAACCATGCTTCAGCCAGGGGAAGCCACGAGGAGACGCTATCAAGACCAGACTTCTACAGGGAAGGAAAATGCAACAGAAAAAGAGACATTAAGGGCTGGAGAACTGTACAGCGAGGAGGGCATTTGCCTTGCAAGCGGCCAACCCAGTTTGATCCTTGGAATCCTGTATGTCCCCTGAGAACCGCCAGAAGTGATCCCTAACCACAGAGTCAGAAGTAAGCCTTGAGCATCACTGAGTGTGGCCCAAAAGCCAACAAATAAAAAGAGTTAAGGAGACATTAAGAAAACCCACAGAGCATGCAGCGGGCGGGCAGCAGGGAAGCCAAACCTTACCTGTGTGCTGTCAAAGTAGATGACAAAGGCTTGGACAGACTCTGCGATCTCGGGGGTGACAAGACACTTGTTTGGCACCACACACAGATTGATATCCGCAGTATAGTACTTGTTATCAATGGTCCAGGGGTATAGCCTCACAGCATCGTCAGCCGTCGCTTCCACCACGAGATCTTCAGTCCCAAGGATATCTATGAAAACATTAACAGGGAACAGGTGAGGCCAAAGGATGTCAAGCATTCTCAGGGAGGGAAGAGAACAGGGTGCTCTGGCTGGGTACCAAAAAGCTTTTCTCCACCCTATACTCACAAAAACAGGCTGGAGCGATAGCACAGTGGGTAGGGCGTTTGCCTTGCATGCGGCCGACCCGGGTTCGATTCCTCCGTCCCTCTCGGAGAGCCTGGCAAGCTACCAAGAGTATTCCACCCACATGGCAGAGCCTGGCAAGCTCCCCGTGGCATATTCGATATGCCAAAAACAGTAACAGTAACCAGTCTCACAATGGAGACATTACTGGTGCCCACACAAGCAAATCAATGAACAATGGGATGACAGTGGCAGTGATACTCACAAACAGTTAAAACAATGCTCCTTATGAGAAAACTATTATTATCAGGAGCAAAATATTATTATATTTTCTTCTCTGATCTTTTTTTTTCTTCTTTGATTATTGGGTTGTAAAAGTGATGGTGACCTGAGTTAACTCACTGGCCTTTGTCTTTTAACACAGTAATGACTGGGACTGGGTCAGAGAATCCAACTGTCGTCTGACCAGACAGGAGGAAGTGGCCGAGAAACATGCAACCTCATTTATTTCACTGCTTCATGGGAGATGGAAGATTATGACAATCTGAGGACAGATAACTATTTTGGCCTTTTTGCGTGCTTACAAGACAAGCATTAAGGCTATAATATTATCAAGCAAAAGAGTCACACATATTTCTTGGGCCAAAAGCTTATGCATTAATTTGATGAGTGAAATGAAAGAGTTGATAATGAAAAATTATCCCAATTCCATCTCCTCTTATTTGAAAGACACTTCTGGCGAATTTTAAATATCTATAATAACCATGCAAATTAAATGACTTAGGATATAATGAAATCTTTCAGAAACTCATATGCATCACCACCATAACTAGAATGATGAACAAATACAGATGTGGTCGTGAGACCATGGAAACATTTTGCTTCCGTAATGTCATACGATATTCAGAACTGGCAGAGATATTAAAAATTATTATAAACAAACACCCATCGCTCATGCTCAGACCCACTATTTCCGTTTAATGCAGATGTGAGAAGTAAAATGATGTGCCACTAGCTGAGTTGCTATAGGGGGCTTGGAGAGACAGTATAAGTTAAGGTGCTTTGCCTCCGAGCCCAATTTGAATCTCAGCACCACAGAGGGTGCCCCGAGCCCCACCAGGTGTAATCCCTGAGCACAGAGCCAGGGGCAAGTCCTGAGTACTGCCAGGTGTGGCCTCAACCCCCACCCTTTGCAAAAAAAGAATATTACATACTAAGATGAATATAAAAATTGTCCTTAAATTCACAGTTAACAGACACAGAAAACTAGTAGACCTGTAGCACTGTCCTCCCGTTGTTCATCGATTTGCTCGAGCGGGCACCAGTAACGTCTCCATTGTGAGACTTGTTACTGTTTTTGGCATATCGAATACGTCATGGGTAGCTTGCCAGGTTTTTCCATGTGAGTGGGATACTCTTGGTAGCTTGCCAGGCTCTCCGAGAGGGGTGGAGGAATTGAACCCAGGTTGACCGTGTGCAAGGCAAATGCCCTACCCTCTGTGCTATAAAATTAGTAGTCATTTTAAATTCCAGAGCTAAGATGATGTGTTTGGAACACTGCACAGTGTTTGCTCAACAAAAAGAGGTAGGGAAACTGTTTAATTCAAAAGGCGGCTAAGGATATAAGGAATAAAATTAAAAGCACCTATGTGCACTTTCATTTCACTGGAAAATTTCCATCACGTGGTTGTGAGGAAGAACTGCTGCCAATGAGACTTCTGTTTTAAATAAGAACATTAAACTAAGTCCCGAAGCTGGCTCAGTGGCAGGGGGCACTCCAGGATGCAAGTGAGGGGACCGGAGTTCAATCCCCACCGTTCCTGCTAGCTCTGCTGTCTGGGACCCCTGGGCAGCAGCGGAGTGCTCCATCGCAGGGCACAGCCAGGTGTATGAAAGCCCCACAGCAAAAGGTGTGCGAGCACTGTGGTCAGGAGCATGTGACTCTAAAAGCACATTGAGGACTACCAGAGCGCCCCCTGGTGAGCAGCACCACAGCACCAGGACAGCTACCCCCAGCCAGCCAAAGTGTGAAAGCCCCCAGAAGAGCAACAAAGGGAAGAGAAGGGAAATACTACAAACATTATGTCTAAAATAAACGTCAGGACCAGAGTGACAGCAGGACAGTCACAGGCACAAACTCGGAAGTGTAGGGCGGCTGCACCCTGACTCTGGTCCAGAGCCACTAGCCGGACTGGTGGGAAGGGGCCCTGGGGAACCCCTGAGGACTGCCTGGAGACCCCCCAAAGTAATATAATTAATGTGAGACTTCGCCTTCTGCGTACAGCTAACTTAGTAATTATTTTTAAGCCCACTAACAGAATTTGTTTTTTTTTAATTTATTTTTAAACAAAGCCAGAATTATTACTTTGAAACTGACAGGCTTATGTCACTATTTTAAAATATGAGTTTGCCTTATCTCCTTAAGAAATCTCTCAGCTTAATTTTCTAGCAAAAGTTATAATCTTTTCTTAACTATCAATCAGTTCCGGAGCAGCCAGGTGCAATATCCCTCCTGGAGCGTTACAGCAAGTTCAGGGTAGGAGAAAAGTAGGAAGAACAGAGAGTTATTAAAATCTGTTTTCATGTAAACGTCTCACAGAAGAAAAACCCTCCTAGATTTCTCGATTAGAAATCAGAGCTGGGGCTGGAGCAATAGTACAGTGTGAAAGCCCCTGGGTGGGTGCTTGCCCTGCACGTGGCCAACCCAGATTCAAATCCCAGCATCCCCTACAGTCCCCTGAGCACTGCCAAGAGTGATTCCTGAGTACAGAGCTTGAGCATCATTGGGTGCAGCCCCCCCCCCCAAACAAAACAAAACAGACAAATTAAAAAAAAGATGAAAAAGAAATCAGAGCTAATATTCCAACATCAGCCAGGTGACGGGATGTGTGACTGGAAAAATGCCAGGATCAGATTTCCCCAAAGGTAGAAGGATCTACCCACAGAATCAGTCTTCATGGATGTGTACTTTAAAAAACAAATAATAGTTTTAACTGTTTTGAAAATCACAGAGAATGAAAGAGTTCACTGGCTCAGGATAAATCAACCAGGCCTACCTGGTCCTGCCTTCCCCAACTAGACAGGTTAAAAGCTGAGAGGAAATCTGGGCTATACCTCCTTCAAATCAGTGTCTTCAACTAACATGAAAAAAAAAATGAGTAAAATGTCACCAGCTCACCAGCTACCATTTAGATTACCTAGACCCATTACAGAATTTATTAATTGGATTTTATTATTCTAGTGATTCTAGTCATTCTAGAATACAAGAAAATAGAGCTGGAGAGATAGTTCAAAGACCCAAGTGTTTTGCATGCAGGAGGTCCGGGTTTAATTCCCAGAGCTGTCATGGAATAAATCTTGTCTAGAATACAAGAGAAGAAATCAGTCTGTCACTAGAGCTCTTAAAAAGTTTCATTTTAGATGGTACTAGAGCAACCTACAACACCCAAAAGGAAAGAGAGAACAAAAGGGAATGCCCTGCCTCAGAGGCGAAGGGGGTGGGTGTTGGGTTGGGGGTGGTGGGAGGGATACTGGGATCACTGGTGGTGGAGAATGGTCACTGGTGGAGGGATGGGTACTCGATCATTGTACTTGATCATCGTATGACTGAAATGCAAGCACGAAAGTTTGTAAGTCTGTAACTTACCCCACGGTGATTCACTAAAATTAAAAAAAATTTTTTTAAAAGTTTCATTTTAGGGCCTGGAGGGATAGTAGGTAGGATGCTTGCCTTGCACACAGCTGACCCAGGTTCAACTCACCATATCCCATATGGTCCCCCAAGCCCACCAGGAATAAGAATAGAGCACGGAGTAAACTCTGAAACCAAGAAAGAAAAAATTTTTTTCCTATTTTATACTTTGATTTTCAAACGGTTAAGATATTTACTAAACACACAGAAAGAAGGTATTTGTTTCTCTTCCTAAACCCAGAGAGGCACTAAAGAAAATGAATGTGAAAGAAAGAAAGAAAGAAAGAAAGAAAGAGAGAGAGAGAGAGAGAGAGAGAAGAGAAAATGAATGTTACCTCTTGGTGTTTTAATAGTTGCTGCTTGTGTTTTATTCATTGTGCTGCCTAAACAGTGTGACTGCTCAACTTTAAATTTTAAATACACTTTTTCTAATTCATTTTTTGCTTTATGGCCTCTGGGACTGAACCCAAGACCTCACACATGCAAAGCTCTTTCAAGTTCTCTCCTGGGCCCTGCGCTCTTGTTTTCTAAACACTGACTCTAAAATGAACCATCTGCAATATCCCAAATTGCAACTGGTTAAGCTTGGGACATTTTCACTCATTTTATTTCATGTTAGCTGATGACTCTGGCTGAGAAAAGGTGTGTCTCTCACTGAACTGCATTCCTTGGCCCAGATTAGGTGCATCCTTCAGCATTTTATATTTGATCAGACACTTTCAAGTGAGGTTCTACGTGGACGATATCATCACACCCGTGCCCCGGGAACACTGAGGGGGAGAGAATGATTAGTGCATCCTAGTAATTTTTTTTAAGTGTAAATAGGAGCCCGACACCAGCGCGCCCCCCACAGCCCCCCCAGCAACCAGCAATGACAGCAGCATGGCCCCAGAACAGTGATGAAGCAAAAGCTATACCAACACACCGTTCCTCCCATCTCTGCTACTTTGTTTCAAACGTGCCACATTTTATTTCTCTCCAATTTCAAAGTCGCTCACACAACTGTGTACCTGACAGCCACTTCTGAGAGGCCAGCCAGTACATTTCTCACTCTGCAGAGAAGACCCAGCACCAAGAGCCCCGGCCCCTTCCCTAGCAGGAGCCAGCAGGGGCAGGGCCACCCGCCTCTGCCCACCGTCACTGCGACACAGGGCACAAACACGAGCAGCGTGGGCTGAGAGCACCCGCGGGCTG